TGGTGGCTGAACGCACAGGTCGCGCTGCATTATAAATCTGAAATGCAGAGTTGGGATGCAGAGATGAACTCCGCGTTTTGAACCTGAGACACAGAGTTGGGCTCTGCATGAACTTTGCGTTTTGGACCTGAGACGTAGAGTTGGACTCTGCATAAACTCTATGTTTTTGAGTCCACGAACTCTGCGTCTGGACTTGAATGCTGGGGATGGCCCTTGAGTTTTGACTCTGGAACATGGGTATGACCTCTGCGTTTTGATGGTATAACACAGGGATGACCTCTGCATTTTGATGGTGAAACGTAGGGATGACCTCTGCGTTTTGATGTGAAGAGACCATCAATTTGTGGTCTCTTTTGCTGAAGCGTTGCAAAGACTGTCATCTTGTAATCTTCATCTTGGCTCCTTGTAAATATGAGAGTCGTCAGATTGTAACTCCTGATATTGATTATGAAGGCTGTTGATTAGAGCTTTCATCAGTTGTTGTGAATGTCGTCAGATTATAATCTTCATCGATCTATGTGAAAGTCTTTAAATTATAGCCTTCTGGAAGTTGTCAGATTATAACTTCCATCATCAGTGTTTGATAGGGGATCAGGTATCTATTATGATTTTTAGACAACCTACAACTATACATATTCAAATATACTTTTTCTAAGAAAAAAAGGGCCTAAAAGACCCTAGTCGATAGCTGTACTACCATTTTTAACTCACAGAGTAGCTTTCTCCCCAACAAAAAGATGAAAGCATTATAAGTATTTTTACATATTTAGTCATGATTACATGAAACCATACACAAAAGAAAAATAGCGACAAAACATATTCAAATATACTTACAAAATATATAGTCTCAACTCGAGTTATGCGTATACGACTCATCATCTCGGCACCAACTAATCAACTCAACATGCCCACAAGGACAGCCTAGACTGAATCCTCACAAGCTACATCCTCTTTCACAGTTTGGGACTCAATCCTGTAAAAACCAAAATTACAAATAATGAATTCAAATCTAAAAAAGTTTTACAAAAAAAGATTAAGAATTTCTTATAAAGGTTAAGAATTTCCAAAAAACCAATTATGCAAAAGGATTCCTAGTATGATAGGACATGTAAATTCATTGTCCATATACTTATAAACTGATAATAATATTTAGTGTAGTGTGAAAAATTAAATAACTATATATGACATGTACAAAATAATTAATAAATTATACATAAATTATATCTAGTCGGGTTGTTTGCAAATTATACTATCCCAACAAAAAATAAAACTACTCAACAAAATTTGGTGGGTTCTAAAATATCTTGACGTCTTGCTGCATCTTTATGTAGTTCTGAATTGGGAAACTGAGAGAGCATAAAATCTCACTCGGTTTCCATCTCCCCAAAAAATTAAGAAAATGTTCAAACATACTATTAAACCTACGCCGAAGAGTAAAATGGATGGGTCAACGTGGAGGAGGAATTAGGTGAAGGATTAAGCTCGATACAGATTGATATACTATTGTAGAAATCCTTGAGTTGTTGTTGGTATCCGAAAGTAGGATCATTTTAGAGTCAATTTCAGGAGGAAATGGAGAGGGGAGTCATACTTGAATTTTTTTTAAATGAAGAGGTAAGGAGATTGAGTGATGAAAGAGAAGAGAAAGAGATTTTGAATTTAGTGAAAATATGTTGTTATTATGATAAAAGAAGAGATGTGGAGATGAACCGGTAAAGGCTATAAAATAATGAGTTGTTAATTTCATTAATTTAATTTAACTAGAATTAGAATATATAATATAAATAAGGTTTAGGGGTAAATTTGTCCATAGAAAGTTTTACCTACACTCCCTCTTTTAAAGGGAGTATGGTTTTCTTGCACGCGATGTGTATAAGACACGATTATATGACAGTGTGGTGTAGTTGAATTGTCATGAAAAACATATTTTTGTTTAGTTTTATTTTTAGAAAAATTGCTTCTAGCCCCCAATTCCCTTACAAGTATTCTGCCCTAAGACTTTTCAATGATCCAAAAGCCCCCACAACAGTATCTTACATTCCTTTAGCCCCTAAAACCCTTCCCCACGTGACTCGATATTTAAAAACAAAAAACTTTCCCCAAAATACCCTTTGATGTAACCGCCTCCCACTTATGAATACTACTATTAGTCGATCGTGTCATCTCAACTCTCTTCTGTCCAAGCAAAACGACCATCCCTGTTGCAAAACCCTAACCCTAAATCAACCCACTTCAGAGCTTAACTTGATCGAAAAAATAGCCGGCAAGTCAACTCCCAAAGTCGTCCTTGTCGATTTTAGCTAAGATGACAATGCTTCACAGTATGTCATCTCAAAAAGACCTTGGACCGTAACAGAGTGGACTAAAGCTGGCACATCAATTGATGATGTTCTAGAGGACATCATAACCAGTCATTCTTATCTTACAAGCCCAGCTTAACCCAAAAAGAGCCAGTCCAGTGCATGTATCTAGAGTGCAGCACCGGCAGTGACGATGCCTCTAGAGCGCTCCTTGATCTACAGAAAGGACCTAAAGAGACACATACGACAGCACAAAAAAGTGATTTTTACCGCAAAATTTAGTTGTTTATGATGTTGCATGTTGTGTTAATTGTGAAGGTTACTGTTAACTTGCGAATGTTAGCTTGTAGTTGTCAAGAAAATTAATTAATTGTTAAGGTTATGCATTAGCTATTAAGGTTATGGATCTGTTATGAAGGTTACTGTTCAGTTGTTAAGGGTAGTATTAACATGTGGCCTATTAGTTGTTAAGGTTAAACGTTAGTTGTTAAGGTTATGAGTCTATTGTGAAGGTTACTATTGACATGCGGATGTTAGTTGTGAATGTTACTGTTGATGGGTGACTGTTAGTTGTGGAGGTTACTGTTAACTTGTGGCTATTAGTTGTGAATTTTACTATTAACTTTTGACCTGTTAGTTGTTAGGGTTATGCTTTTATTATTAAGGTTATTGATTGGTTGTTGAGGTTAGGCTTTGGTTGTGAAGCTTATGGATTTGTTGTTAAGATTACAGTTTCTTTGTCAAGTTTACATCATAATTATTATAGTTACAAATTATTTTTAAACTAATTATGTCTTGTGGTTTTGCTTTATAGACAAAAGGCAAAGTCCCGATCAAAGTTGCGGCCTACTTCCAGCTTTACTACGTACTATGAATTCATGCATACTTTAGTGCAGCATATGGGGCAAAGGTACTGTGAGGCCTACGAAGATAGTGTATTCAGACACAACATTCATTTTGGCCCTCCTGATCTGGATCTTCCCATTTTTGAGCACGTGCTGAGACAGTAGGACGAGAAAAAGATAAAATTTGTCTTTACCGATACAAAAACTGGAGAAGACATCGAGTGCTTATTCAACCTTGATTAGGTAATGAGCCATACATGGTTCTCCAGTGAGGGGGATCTTGTTAGCCCCATTCGATATAGGAAAAATCGATTTTGGTCAAGGTTTTTTTACCAAACCTGAGGATGACAGCAGAACTCCTCCTCCAGTACCCACCAGATGCCATGTTGAGTATCTACTCACAAAGCTTGTACAATCAACTGATCATCAAGATGTGAAGGGCTTTGTCTTGCTACAGATCCTCTATCAGCTGAGCATGATCTGGTGTCCAAGCAGTGTTCCTGGTATACTAAGGTATTTGTTCAAGTATGTTGATAGCATCGAACAAGCAAATAACACTGCTTGGGAAACCTATATATTCAGTGAGACAATTGATGCTATTGAAAAGGCATTGAAGGGTCCTGGACCAGGAAAGAAGATTGTATATCTACAAGGGTGTACCCAGCTTATTTGTGTAAGTATTCCTGCTTTTTATTATTTAGAGCAATGAGTAAATTTTATGAATTATTGATTGTGAAGGATAGAGTTTAGTTCTTAAGTATAGTTGGTAGTTGTTATGTATACAATTTGGTTATTAAGGTTACGATTTTGTTGTTATGGTTGCTTATTTGTTGTTAAGGTTGCAGATGGGTTGTTAAGGTTATGAGTTTGTTATTAATGTTACAGATTTATTGTTAAGGTTACAAGTTGTTAAGATTACGGTTTTGTTGTTATGATTGCTTATTTGTTGTTAAGGTTAAGAGGTGGTTATTAAGATTCTATTTCTCTCATGTGCAGCTGTGGTACTATGAACTTACTGGCATCAAGAAGCTAGTAGTGGGAAATATGTCGCAGTCTTTCCTCACAAATTAGGTAAAACTGGGAGATGTTGCTAGATCCCTGATATTGGCTACTGTTGTAGCTAAAACAAGGCAAGCTAATATAAAGCTTCCACAGTTCTAGGGCCAAGTTCAAAGTCTTGAGGGAGGTTTGTGGGGGAAGGAGCAAGAGAAGGAGAATTTAAAAAGAGAAGAAGAAAAAGAAAAGAGAGAGAGAGAGAGAGAGAGAGAGAGAGAGAGAGAGAACAATAAGGAACTGGCTGCTAGAGATATCGGTAGGGCACGTGGCCCAAGACAGCCTCTTCCCAAAAAGAAAATAGGATCCGAAAATGATAACATTCTTGAATGATGGGTAAGCATTGTAGTAATTGTGTTTTATAAATGTCTTGTTAATAATAGTGTCTGTTGGTTTTTAATTATTTTTTTAATAATACACTAGTAGAAAAATAAGTAAACTAGACAGAGTAAACTAGACAGAATTTTTTTTCGTCTAGTTTGATGCAAACTAGATGGAAAAAATTTCACCTAGTTTGCTCCGTCTAGTTTGAGGCAATCTAGACAGAAAATTCTGTCTAGGTTACCAAACTAGACGGTACCTTTTTTAATTTTAAAAAAAGAGGGGTCCACTATCCTAGACAGAATTTCTATCTAGGATGCAACTTAGATGGAAATTCCGTCTAGGTTGGTGGGTCCCATGAAAAAACCCTAACCTTATAACCCTCGCCGCCCCCTCTCCCCTCTCCCTAAGATCTCGTCCCCCCTAAAAAACACTTAACTGCTACGTTGGTGTCAACATCAGCGGCAAGATGAGTAGAATCATGGCGGGTTCTGTGATGGTGAAGGAGAAGATCGATCTCACGAAGAAGGAGGAGAAGATCGTCAAGCATCTGCTCTATGTTGTGAAGCACTTTGAGTTGGAGATTCGGCTTCATGTCACTGGGGGCTGGGTTCATGATAAGGTCAAATTTAGTCTTATTTTCAATGTTCTAGTCTTGATTATATACAGTTTCAACTCGAGCAGATCAGTCGATTTCACTTGAATCAAAACTATTTCATTACTCTATTTTTTTCCTCTGAAGATTATTTCATGTTTCAATTGTGCACATTTTGCATAAAGATTACTATGATATCGACATTGTACGTAAAAAAATTTAAAATTATTCTTTGGTTACCCTAAAATATATATAGTCTGAATTCAAGTAAAGGCTGTAAATTTTCACTTGTAAAACCAAGCTAAAAAATAACTTCAATTAATTGTTTTTCTAGGATAATATTAGTAGTTTGTTTGGAGATTTATTAGCGAGGTTTTTGTTTTATGAAGATTATTTCGTGTTGCATGTGACAGGTTTTGGGGAAAGACTACAACGATATCGATTTTGTATTGGACAACATGTTGGGTAGAGAGTTTTGTGACAAAGTCAATGAGTACCTACATGTTGGTGAAAAACGACATGGCGTGACTGTTATTCGATGGTAAATGCAATGGTGTTTTTTCATCATACTATAAGAGTTACATTTCAAAATAAGCATCACCTGCTGTTAGTTTGTCATACTTCTACATTTTGCACTTTGTGTGGATATTTATCTACGAACTGGAAGTAGCTTAATAGAGAAAGGAATTATTGCATGATTTGTACTTGTTACATAATATTAAGTTGTCAGATAAAACAAAAGTAATATTTGAAACCTGCTATTTTTCTAAAAGTGCATGCTAGTAGCAATAAAAGTTATACCTGTTGGCCTTCTTATTTTGATGATGATTTAATAAACAATTTACATCTAATATTGTTTGTCTAGTGTTTGTGTTTTGTTATTTATTGTAGACAAACAATATGTTGGAGGTTGGATGGATTGCGCTTCAACGATAATATCCAATGGAGGTTGGCGGAATAGTAGGTGAAGCTATGTACAATTCAAGTTGAAGATCAAAGTTCAAGCTTCGTCCGCAAGTGTACCAAGTTGAGCTCATTGAAGACCTTCATCAAGCTTGGGTAATTTAGTTTAGGAGTTTATATTATGTGTGTTAATACCTTAAGCTCAATATAATATACACACACACATTTATTGGTTTCCATGTATATATATAGTTATATATATATATACATATATGTTTTGGTTTGATAGTTTTCAAGTTTTACTATGAAACAATTAAATATAATTAGAAAACATATTTTAGTTTCATACTTATATGCATATATATGATTTCATCAATATCAATTTTATTTAGTTCAATGAAATCATGTTTTAGTGCATTATATGTGTATTTTGATAAAATACTATATTCATTATTTATAAACTTCATAACAATAGCTTACATATTTCTTCAAGTCTATAAAATCATTTTGTAAAGTTTCAAAATATAGTTCAGGCAAAATGTCGAAATCCATATGTTTAAATTTCTATGTTTTGGACCTCCTTAAAAAAATAATGATATTTTACATTTGGAAAGTCTTTTTTTCAAACCAGTCTTTGTAGCATGTTTATTATCATGTCTACAATCATTCTCCAAAGTTTTACATTTTTCTAAATTTATTTGATATTTTTAAACAGTGTTTTAAAATCAGCAAACTGTTTTTAAACCTGAAAATTTCATATATCAGTTCACGGTCGACTGCCACGGTCGACCGCACCTTTGTTTTTCCCTCAGGATGCAGCAGAAACTTTCACGGTCGACCACCACGGTTGACCGTTTAGCTGAAAATTCCTACGGTCGACCGCCACGGTCGACCGTCGAACTCTCTGGAAGTTTTCTGAGGTTCAAAAGTGCCTCGCGGTACGGTCGACCGCCACGGTCGACCGTCGAACTCTCTGGAAGTTTTCTGAGGTTCAAAAGTGCCTCGCGGTTGACCGCGAGAATTTCACGGTCGACCGTCGATAGCCCAACGGCTATTTTTTGTTGTTTTGTTTGGGGTGTTGGCTGTTGGTTTCTCTTCCTATAAAAGCCCCTCAACCCCTCTTCTACCAGTAACAATTAGAGAAAGTTTCAAACAAGTGTAAGAGGGTTTTACAGTTTGTTTAGTTTGTTTTTTTAGGGTTTACTTTTACAAAGAGGAGCTTACATCATCTGTTGAGGAGTTCATCTTTAATATCTTCTCATCCTCTCTTTGTGTTTATAGAGAAGTTTTCTAACTCTTTTCTCTAGCAATATTATTATTGATTTTTATATTCTTATTATTGCTAGTTTGCTATTTGATTTAGATTTGATTTTACTCATTGTTTATACTCACCCACATTGAGCTTATTGTATTTACATTCATAGTATAATTTGGGTTGTGGGGTTGTAACAATTAAGTGTGAGCTTTCATTATATTCTCATCCATATTAGAGGACAATCATTTATTGTAATTGTGCTTATTGTGAGGATCACTTTGTAATACACTTGTACACCGAGAGAAGTGTGTGGCGAGAGTCGGGGATCGTCCCAAGAGGAGTGTTGTCGGTTGACGAATCTAGGAAGGGGTTGTATCTGAGCACTTGAGGGAGACACGTCTAGTTCAACACTTGAGACGGTGTAGAGTGGGATTGTAAGAGTGGTGATTGTAAAGTTTTCGGTTAGCTAGAAAACCGAGTGTGAGGTGTAAACGTTGTTCGGGTAAGCGTAGAAAACCCAGTTGTGTTAGTGAATTTCTCCCCGGGAGTGGGGAGCGGAGACGTAAGACTGAAGATCCGAACTCCGTGATCATTTGATTGTGTTTGTGTTTTGCTTAGCGTATATTTTATTTGTGGCTAGAAGATCCGAACTCCGTGATCATTTGATTGTGTTTGTGTTTTGCTTAGCGTATATTTTATTTGTGGCTATTCATATCTTTCTTGCTCATTTCTATCTCATATCATTCTTGCAAGAACAAATTAATCAATATAATTTTAATTAGCATAAAATCGGATTAGATTAGCATAAGACCCTAATCACCCCCCTCTAGGGTCTAACAATTGGTATCAGAGCTTGGTGCTCTTTGAATTTAAGGACTAATCGCCTTGAGTTAAAGATCCAAGTTATCTTATTTGTGCTAATCTAGTTATGATTACATTTGTCTTGCTTGTATATATTCACATATATATCATGAATATAAATGTATTTCGTTTAGGCTATGAATCAAATGTTGCTCCTAAATTCATTAATTTTTCCTATGCACAATGAGCTTCTAAATTTAAACTATTTGTTGAATCTAGAAATATCAACTTATGGGAAGTTATTGATTATGCTTATATTGTGCCCACTTTGGAGATATCCAAGTGGAGCAATCATGATAATAAAATGTTTACAATGAATAAGCTTTTGTTAGAATTTTTGCTTAATGCTTTTGACTCATCATTTTCTAACAAATTTGTTCATTTTGATAGTGCTTACAAACTTTGAAAATTTATTGAAGCACATCAATGGGACTTGGAGGTAATCCGACAAGCTTTGGAGGATTCTTCTTCAAGTTCATATGGAGCATCATGCACACGGCCACAAGAGGATAACTCTTGTGTAGTAAGCGATTTCGATAATGATTTATCTATTGATGAACTCGCTTGTGCGTATGAAAGATTATCTCATGCCTATAATAAATTGTAAAATAATTTTATTGATCTTAAAAGCAAGCATGTAGAATTAAAATCCGATCATGAGTTGCTAGGTTCCAAATTTGATATCATTGCTAAAGAAAATGTTACACTTAAAGAAAATAATGATATATTGAATTTGGAAAATAAAAATTTGAGCTCATCTATTGCTAGTTTAACTCATGCAAATAAAGATGCCATGCTAGAAGTAGAATGCATTAGAAATGAATTTGATAACCATACATGCTCTACTTCTATTATCAATGATGTCGTGTCTAATGTTGAGTTGAATCTTGTCAAAAATAGTATATCATCTTTAGATTCAACATTAACTTCATGCATTGATAATCATAAGAAGCTTATGAATATGTGTGCCATTAACTTCATGCATTGATAATCATAAGAAGCTTATGAATATGTGTGCCAAATCTAAGTCTAAATCATCCACTCATTATGCACACAATGTGTGCCAAATCTAAGTCTAAATCATCCACTCATTATGCACACATATATAGCAAAGTTTATAAATGCACTATTTATGGTCGTAAAGGCCATTTAGCTAAATTTTGCTATGATGCACACAAATATAAAAATGTCAATGCTTCTTGTGCATCTCATCAAGTCTCTTCATCACATGTACACACACATGCACCTATTATTCATCATAAGCATGCTCATGTGTATCATTGTGATCTTTGTGGTCGTTTTGGCCATTTGGCAAAGTTTTGCTTTGATTTGAAAAAGAATTTAAGTTTGCCAAATGTTTTTAGTAGACCATATGTTTTAAAATGTGATGTTTGTGGTAGATTTGGCCATTTGACGAAGTTTTGTTATTATTTGAAAAAATATTCAAACTTGCCAAATTTCTCAAGTAAACCACCTTTGTTTAAAAATGTTTCTCATTTATTTGAAAAAATATTCAAACTTGCCAAATTTCTCAAGTAAACCACCTTTGTTTAAAAATGTTTCTCATTTGCGATATAATTTAAAAGAAAAATCTAAATTTCTCAAGTAAACCACCTTTGTTTAAAAATGTTTCTCATTTGCGATATAATTTAAAAGAAAAATCTTTATTTGCAAATGATTCCCGTGCACGCCCACTTGATCAACACAAATCATTTAAACCTCTTCATTACACCTATTGCAATCGGAAAGGTCATGTGTATAATTTTTATTTTGACCGTGCTAGTGCACCATATGTGCCCAAACGGGTTCATAACCCTAGGACTTTGAGCTTTAATGATAGGGGTTATATCCCTAAACAAACCGGCACCAAGAATACTTGGGTGCCAAAATAATTTAAGCCAAGAATTTTAGTACTTTTATTTTTCTTTTTCTTGGTTTTGAAAAATGTATTTTAAACTTTTATGAAAACTATTTTTATTGATCAATTCTTTTGTTTTCATGATTACTAGTTTTGATTTTTGTTGAGAGGTTTGTGTTTATATAACCCTCCGAGTTTATTGGGTGTTTATTCCCAAATCATGTTTACCGGATACTAGAATGATTATATGAGTTGGAACAAGCTTAAGAGCTTGATACATTATTGCCTCTCTTGAAATTCTTTTATCAAAGTTTTTGTTTTGAATTATTGCTTTGAATTTATTATATTTCACTTATATGATGATATTTATGTGTTTGTGCTTATGGATCATCTATTCGTGCCTTATAATGTATTCCATATGTGGTTTGATCAAATCCCACAAAGAAAAGTCTCTTGATTGATCAAACATCGTTTTTGGATTTAAACTTTGATTTATGATTTCTTTTGGTTGATTTGTTTTCATTTGAAAACTTTTTGCATGATTTTCATGTTTCTCTTCTTTTGTTTTCATAAATCTATTCTTTTATATGGTTTTTAAAATTGTATAATGAGACACTTCTTTTATATTTATATGTGTTCTCATTATCTTTTTTTGTATGTGAGTTATGTTTAACATGTTTTTAATCTATGCTTTCTCACATATGTATGCCTTAGCATTCATTTTATACATTCATAAGGCATTTTGATAGGGGGAAAAAATCCCTATATTTGTTTTATACTCACCCATGCTCATATGTAGGGGGAGCTTTCGCTGTCTTTCATCTAAATGGGTTTTCCTCTTTTTGATGTTGTCAAAGGGGGAGAAATATTGTGAGTATATTCTTTTTGTTTATATGCATGATAATTACAATATTGTATATTCATTTTCTTTCATGCATATATTATTTTTGTAAATTGTTTGTCATCATCAAAAATGGGAGATTGTTGGCCTTCTTATTTTGATGATGATTTAACAAATAATTTACATCTAATATTATTTGTCTAGTATTTATGTTTTGTTATTTATTATAGACAAACAATATGCTGGAGGTTGGATGGATTGCACTTCAACGATAATATCCAATGGAGGTTGGCGGAATAGTAGGTGAAGCTATGTACAATTCAAGTTGAAGATCCAAGTTTAAGCTTCATCCGCAAGTGTATCAAGTTGAGCTCATTAAAGACCTTCATCAAGCTTGGGTAATTTAGTTTAGGAGTTTATATTATGTGTGTTAATATCTTAAGCTCAATATAATATACACATACACATTTATTGGTTTAGCATGTTTATTGTCATGTCTGCAATCATTCTTCAAAGTTTTACATTTTTCTGAATTTATTTGATATTTTTAAACAGTGTTTTAAAATCAGCAAACTGTTTTTAAACCTGAAAATTTCATATATCAGTTCACGGTCGACTGCCACGGTCGACCGTGCCTTTGTTTTTCCCTCAGGATGCAGCAGAAACTTTCGCGGTCGACCACCACGGTCGACCGTTTAGCTGAAAATTTCTACGGTCGACCGCCACGGTCGACCGTCAAACTCTCTGGAAGTTTTCTGAGGTTCAAAAGTGCCTCGCGGTCGACCGCGAGAATTTTACGGTCGACCGTCGATAGCCCAACGGCTATTTTTAGTACAGAATCGTATTCCTGATTTTCTGGGATTTTTGTTGTTTTGTTTGGGGTGTTGGCTGTTGGTTTCTCTTCCTATAAAAGCCCCTCAACCCCTCTTCTACCAGTAACAATTAGAGAAAGTTTCAAACAAGTGTAAGAGGGTTTTACAGTTTGTTTAGTTTGTTTTTTTGGGGTTTGCTTTTACAAAGAGGAGCTTGCATCATCTGTTGAGGAGTTCATCTTCAATATCTTCTCATTCTCATCCATATTAGAGGACAATCATTTATTGTAATTGTGCTTATTGTGAGGATCACTTTGTAATACACTTGTACACCGAGAGAAGTGTGTGGCGAGAGTCGGGGATCGTCCCAAGAGGAGTGTCGTCGGTTGACGAACCTAGGAAGGGGTTGTATCTAAGCACTTGAGGGAGACACGTCTAGTTCAACACTTGAGAGGGTGTAGAGTGGGATTGTAAGAGTGGTGATTGTAAAGTTTTCGGTTAGCTAGAAAACCGAGTGTGAGGTGTAAACGTTGTTCGGGTAAGCATAGAAAACCCGGTTGTATTAGTGAATTTCTCCCCGGGAGTGGGGAGCGGAGACGTAAGACGGAAGATCCGAACTCCGTGATCATTTGATTGTGTTTGTGTTTTGCTTAGCGTATATTTTATTTGTGGCTATTCATATCTTTCTTGCTCATTTCTATCTCATATCATTCTTGCAAGAACAAATTAATCAATATAATTTTAATTGGCATAAAATCGGATTAGATTAGCATAAGACCCTAATCACCCCCTCTAGGGTATAACAATAACTATAAGATTAGGAGGCATTATATGAATGATAATTTAAAAGTACAAAAATTCTTGAGATCATAATGTTTTAGACATGGATACTTGTGCGTTGTCAGGGAGGTGAGTCTGAGTGCATAATTTATGTTGAAGAAAATTTCAGATGGATGATAGGTGGAAAGTTTGATAGAGATTGGAGTTTTGAGAAGCTAGTCTTCAGAAAAAGAATTTAGGGTTGAATCATCTTTTCCTTTGTAAAGGTATTATTTTTTTTTCATAATGTTGTAAGTTGGTTCACTTTGTTTTTCTTCTTTTGAGGCTATCAATGTTCTTTACTACTTTCCTCTTTTGGTATATCAAAAATTATATTTGTAGTTAGTATTTTAATTGGATTCTCTCTTAATACCTGTCAATAATTTTTTTCCCTTATTATGTTACTTAGGCTACTGGTCTTGAAGGTGATGTTCGAAAACAGGAAGATACTGCTAGAGTTTTGGGAACAACAGTTAAGCACTTCCGGAAGCTTGACATTCTTGTCAATGGTGCAACAAGTAATTTTCTCATATCTCCAAAGGATTTGTTACCTAATGGATTTTGAACAGGTCCAACATACTTTTTGTGTGGTTTTTATAGTTCTTTGATTACCTAGGTAACTTCTGTTTGAAGGTTTTGTGTCTAATAACTTTGTCTTCTGATCATTCAATGTTAGAGAAAACAATAGAGGTCTAAATGTATTGCTCTAGTATTTTGGTCAATGTATTATTTGAATGTGATTGAATTTGATATTGGAATATAATTAGATTATGTTGGATATGAATATGATTTGGTGTTATGCAATATTGTGTATTTTGATGAATGTATTATTTGAATATAATTGGATTTGATATTGGAATATAATTAGATTGTGTTGAATAAGAATATGATTTGGTGTTGTGTAATATTGTGCACATATACAGGTGATACAATATGCCGTACAAAGTAGATTCTGCAAAAAATAGAAAAAAAGAGTTGTAGCATCTTAGACTAAAATTTCATCTAGGATGCTCATCCTAGACGGAACTGCCATCTAGGTTACTTCCTAGATGGAAAATCCGGCTAGGAACCAACCTAGACAAAATTTCCACCTAGATTGCATCCTAGACGGATTTTTTATCTATGAAGCAACCTAGACGGTAATTCCGTCTAGGTTGCTTCCTAGATAGATGTTCCGTCTAGGTTGCTTTCCGTCTAGTTAAATCAACCTAGACAGAATTTCGTCTAGGTTGACCTAAACTAGATGGAATTTTCCTAGATGGACTTTTCTAGATAGATTTCCTTCTAGGTTGCTATACCTAGACGGATTTCTGTGCAACCTAGATGGTTTTTTCTGTCTAGTTTGTTTATTTTTCTACTAGTGAAACTCTATTTGTCCATTGCATAAACTATGCTGTTGGTCTTCTTGTTTTGATGATGTTTAACAAATAATTTACCACTAATGTTGTTCGTCTAGTATTTGTGTTTTCCTATATATTGTAGACAAACAACGTTGTTGGAGGTTGGATGGAATATGCGCTACAACGATGATATCCAATGGAGGTTGACGGAATAGTGGAGTGAAGCCTTGCAATTCAAAGTTAAAGATCAAGTTCAAGCTTCATCCGCATGTGTACCAAGTTGAGCTACAATGAAAATCAAGATCAAGCTTGGGTAATCTAGTTTAGATTTTATATTATGTGTGTTAAGTACCTTAAGCTTAATATCATATACACACACGTATTTGGTTTCTATGTATATATATAGTTATATATATACATGCATGGTTTTGAGTTTTCATGCTTTGGACACACTTGCAAAATACATGAGTTTTCACAAATAGAAATTCAATTTGAGAAATTCTTTTTCTAACATGTTTGTTTTTATGTTTACAAACATTTCGCAAAGTTTCATCAAGTTTGGAATTGATTTGTTATGTTTAATGGAATTTACAAAATCATGTTTTTGTTCGTGCACATGTTCGTGCATGTTTTACAAAATAGATGAGTTTTCATAAATGGGAAGTGATATTCAAGAAATTCTTTCTTTGACATGTTTATCTACATGTTTAGAAACTTTCCTCAAAATTTTACTATTTTTGGAGTTGATTTACTATGCCCAATTGATTTTACAAAATCGTATATGTCAGCAGTTTTTCAGAAACTGTAAACTTGTGTTCAAACATTTATTTCTATCAACTGGGAAATGATTTTTTAGAAATTCTTTCTCTAACATGTTATTCTACATGTTTAGAACCTTCACACAAAATTTCATATTTTTTGGAGCTGTTTTACTATTTTTATTGATTTTATAAAACTGATACACATTGCTACAGTACCCGCGGTCGACCGCCACGGTCGACCGCGTTGCTGATTTTTGTTTTTAATGGTTTTTTTGGGGTTTTTGGGGTTGGTTTCTTCAAGCCTATATATACCCCTTTGCCATAACTATTTTCTATCATCTAAGAGAGTTTTTAACCAAGTTTAAAAGAGTTTTAACAAGGGTTTTAGTTTGGTTTAAGTGTGTTTAAGAAGCTTTTAAGCATTTAGAAGTTTGAGTTTGAGAAATCAATTTCACAAGAGCTTGAGGAGATTATCTATTGGTGTTTGGGCATCCAACTATTCTCCTTCTACCTCTTGATCTATTGAGAAGTTTTCTAACTCTTTTCTCTAGCAATTTTATTATTGATTTTCATATTCTTATTATTGCTAGTTTGCTATTTGAGTTAGATTTGATTTTATCTCATTGTTACACACACCCACTTGAGCTTATTGTATTTACATTCATAATATATTTTGGGTTGGTGAGAGTTGTAACAATTGAGTGTGAGCTTTCATTATGTTCTCATCCATAGTAGAGAATAAACATTTATTGTATTGAGCCTTATTGTGATATTCACTTTGTAATACACTTGTACACCGAGAGAAGTGTGTGGCGAGAGTCGGGGATCGTCTCAAGAGGAGTGGCGTCGGTTGACTAACCTAGGGAGAGGTTGTAACCGAGCACTTGAGGGAGACACGTCTAGTTCAACACTTGAGATGGTGTAGAGTGGGATTGCAAGAGTGGTGATTGTAAAGTTTTCGGTTAGCTAGAAAACTGAGTGTGAAGTGTAAACGTTATTCGGGTGAACGTAGAAAACCCGGTTGTGATAGTGGATTTTTCCCCGAGAGTGGGGAGCGGAGACGTAGGACGGAAGGTCCGAACTCCGTGATCATATTGTGTGTTTGCATTGTTTATTTTGCACTATCACATTTGTCGTTTAATTATATCACCTTTGTGTTAGTTTTTATATCCTTGCATATACATTGCCTATATCTCTTTGTTAGGATATATCTTGTTGTTCATATTGCTTATCCTAGTTCATATATATTGTTGTATTTCATACTTGCTAGGATAACTCATTAATTAATTTTAATTGGCATTTAATCGGATTAAGCATAAGACTCTAATCACCCCCCCTCTAGGGTCTAACAATTGGTATCAGAGCTTGGTGCTCTTTGATTTAAGGTCTAATCGCCTTGAGTTAAAGATCCAAGTTATCTTATTTGTGCTAATCTAGTTATGATTACTTTCGTCTTTCTTGCATATATTCACATATATATCATGAATATAAATGTATTTTGTTTAGGCTATGAATCAAATGTTGCTCCTAAATTCATTAATTTTCCCTATGCTCAATGGGCTTCTAGATTTAAACTATTTGTTGAATCTAGAAATATCGACTTATGGAAAGTTATTGATTACGCTTATATTTTGCCCACATTGGAAAAATCCAAGTGGAGCGATCATGATAATAAAATGTTTACAATGAACAAGTTTTTGTTAGAATTTTTACTAAATGCTTTTGACTCATCCTTTTCTAACAAATTTGTTCATTTTGATAGTGCTTACAAACTTTGGAAATTTATTGAAGCACATCAAGGGGACTTGGAGGCAATCCGACAAACTTTGGAGGATTCTTCTTCAAGTTCATGTGGAGCATCATACACTCGGCCACAAGAGGATAACTCTTGTGTAGTAAGCGATTCCGATTCTGATAATGATTTATCTATTGATGAACTCGCTTGTGCATATAAAAGATTATCTCATGCCTATACTAAATTACATAATAATTTTATTGATCTTAAAAGCAAGCATGTAGATTTGAAATCCGATCATGAGTCGCTAGCTTCTAAACTTGATATTGTTGTTAAAGAGAATGCTATTTTGAAAGAAAACAATGAGTTAATAAGTTTGGAAAATAATAACATGTCTTCATCTATTGCTAGCTTAACTCATGCTAATAATGATGCCATGATAGAAGTAAAAACTATTAGAAATGAGTTTAGTTCTTTTAAAAATGATCATGTTTCATCTACTTCAATTTCCAATGCTTGTATGCCTAACAATGTGTTGGATCATGTTAAAGAACGCATATCATCTTTAGATTCAACCCTTAAAACATGCATTGTAGATAATAAGAAACTTATGGACTTGGGTGCAAAGTCTCGTACTACAACTTCTAAACCCGTACACTTTGCACACTTGTATAGCAAAGCTTATAAATGTTCTATTTGCGGCCGTAAAGGCCATTTAGCTAAGTTTTGCTATGATGCACAAAAACATAAGAATATTAATCCTTCTTGTGCATCTCATCAAGTTTCTTCATCACATGTACACACACATGCACCTATTGTTCATGTGTTTAAATGTGATTTTTGTGGTCGATTTGGTCATTTGGCCAAATTTTGTTTTGATGTAAAGAGAGTTTCACATTTGCAAAATAATTTTAAAAGACCATTCATGTTTGCAAATGTTTCTAATGTTTCCCGTGCACAACCATTTGGTCAACGCAAATTATTTCAACCTTTTCATTGCACAAATTGCAATCGTAAAGGTCATTTATATAATTTTTGTTTTGACCACTTTCGTGCACAACATGCGCCCAAGAGGGTTCATAACCCTAGGGCTTTGAGCTTCATTGATAGGGGTCATGTCCCTAAATCCTTTGGTACCAAGAGTTCTTGGGTACCAAAACAAATTTGATATTTAAACCAAGAATTTTAGTGTTTTTATTTTTCTTTTCTTGGTTTTGAAAATTATGCTTTGAAATTTTTGTATATGAAAACAATATTTTTTTGATCAATTCTTTTGTTTTCATGATTATTGGTTTTGTTTTGATGAGAGGTTTTTATTTATGTAACCCTCCGGATTTATTGGGTGTTTATTCCCAAACATTGTTCACCGGGTGCCAAAATGTTTATAAGGGTTGATACAAGCTTAAGAGCTTGATATATTATTGCCTCTCTTGAAATTCTTTTGTCAAAGAGTTTGTTTTGATTTATTACCTTAAATTCATTATATTTCACTTATATGTTGATATTTATATGTTTGTGCTCATGGATCATATATTCGTGCCTTATAATGTATTCTATGAGTGGTTTGATCAAGTTATACAAAGAAAATTTTTCTTTACTGATCAAACATTGGTTTTAGACTCAAATCTTGATTTATGATTTCATTTGGTTGATTTTCATTTGAAAATATTTTGCATGATTCT